TTTTTTTGAACTTTCTCGCTGCTGGATCTCTCTAAAAATCCTGCCAGCGAGCTTATCTACAACTAACACTGGAATTTCCTATTGACTTCGATTTTCTAATTTCCCTGACTCCCCGCGATGGATTCTTCTTAATGTGCTTTCCTGCCTCGTTAGGTTTTACTGGGATCTCAGAATTAACGATAGCTTCAATCAAATTGATTGCAAGCCCCTTTGCTGCTGCAGAACTCATATGGAGCCTAGATGCTTTAATGGTTCTGCAATTGATAGGTTTCTGTAATAATGGCTGGTGCTGCTCCTGATTATCTGTATTAACTCCCTCGTCATCATACGTGGGCGGAAATTCAGATATGAGAGTAGGTTCAGTTGAGCTAGATGCCAGTCCTTTTTCCTTCCTGTTCGATTCCTGCCCCTCCCACTTCCTAATCATGAAGTCCAATTTCTCCATCATCATAGACATTGCTCTCTAAAATTTAGATTTCATTGCACCTAGCTCAAAGTAGCTCCAATTGTAGGCAGTCAGTTCTCCCTTCTAAGGATTAGTTGATTGTTGAGAGTCAATTTCCCAGGTAACTGATCTGATACCATTTTGATAGAACTCTTCTTTACTCAGCTTCAATGTTAGCTTCGCTGCTGGAAATTATCACTCTAATTGGCTGATGAAATCAACAAGATGTTTATGAAGGTGATTTAATTGAACTCAAGCAAAAGACAAATTCCAAGGCTATTAGACAGGCCCAGTCTCTCCCCCTTTTCCTAACAGAAAATCAGTACTTGAATGAATCCTACATTCCCCTCCCCTTCGCATTTATTTTCATTTCCCTACTACAATACTATTACGCTTTTACCCTTCTCCTAACTAGCTAGGTGGAACACTCTAGAATAGTTGATGACTTGGCTGCCTCAATATTGGTTGTATCCTTGCAATCTCATTGGATATCTATCACGTTTACAGCCATTGATTTCCACTTCTGTATGGCTATGAATTACTGAAATATCACATTCTTTAGTCTGACTTTCACATAAAAGTTGTCAAATAAGAAGCACGTTACTTATATGGCACAGATCCATTATGAAGAATGAAAATTGTTCAACATGACAGTAAAAAGTTCATAAAATTGTAGTTTTATTATCAAATTTTTAGCTTTTATCTCAAGGGTTTCTGTTGCTTTATGTTAATATAACATATGTAGGATATGTACACAAAGACAGGCATACAGACGTATATTTTTGGTATTGCATGATACTAATCTATCTGGGTGTTTTCTGTCTGGGAGCTCAAGATGTGGTAAGGGGTATACATCAAGTTTCTTTAAGATCTCTAAATGACGTATAGGGATGGAAACAGAGGTGTGAAATGTTTTAGTAATTTTTAGCACAATATAAAAGGACGACCACTCAAAAAGAATATGAATATTGGACGAGTTCTGAGTTGGCAGCAAGAAGACGTTATGTTTGTCTTTACTAGTAGGGATACAAGATTTTGCAATCCCTCATTATAAGGTAAATATTGTTCTCTACTGGAATCCTTTAACACTCCATAAACCTTGTAAGTTTAAATTAATAATTTCTCCTTTTTTCTTTGAATCCTGTGGCTAGATAGTACTAGTAATAGTTAAATTCTTCTCATGCTTCTTTTCTTCCTTGCAGGTAACGAATGGTGGGATCTCTGTGCTGGGCCTCATGTTGAATCTACTGGAAATATCAATCGAAAAGCTGTTGAGCTTGAATCTGTTGCGGGAGCTTATTGGAGAGGAAACATAAATAAGCCAATGCTGCAAAGAATATATGGCACAGCATGGGAGAATGAGGAACAACTTAAGGCTTATCTTCACTTCAAAGAGGAAGCAAAAAGGCGGGATCACCGTCGAATTGGTCAAGATCTCGATCTATTTTCTATTCAGGTACTGTCTTTATGATTTGACGTACTCCCTCCAACTTAAATTCTTTGTCCATTTTGAGTATTGTTACTTACAAATTATTTTTGTTTGTTTGAACTTGTTAATTGTCTTTGCAAATTTTCTGGTAAGTAAAGAAAATTTTATTAAAATGCACTAAGAGGGTATGCCTTTCACAAAATGACAAAACTCTGTCTTTATACTCAGAAATGTGTTCCATACAGTCTAGAAAAGAGTGAGGCAAGGCGTAAACCTCGATCTGCTTTTATGCGTAATCCTAAAGACAAATTATTAAAGTAATTTAAAAGAAAAGAAAATTGCAA